GCGCCGCCTGAAGGCGAGCTTCTCCCAGAGACCAGCCTTACTCCTGAACACGTCACTCAGCTCTTCTCATCATGAGAACATGAGTTGTTTATCATGAGTGTTGAGCTGAAAACAAAGAGCTCAAGTGTTTGTTTGCTTCACGTGAACATTGATTTGATCTAATCTTTATTACAGACTCCGTGTTGGAGTAGAAAGAAGTGTCAGCTCACACACACACACACAAACATCTGCTTGAATTCTCCTTTGTTCCGCTGAGAACAAATATTTATTTAACACAATCTGTGTTTTCACATCTAAAAGACAAATTTAAGTTAGTTTTTGATATCACAGTTCATGGGAAACTGAATCTCTGTTAAATGTAGGGCTTTATTTCCTCACTGCATGACTCTCTTTATTTTATTTTCAGGACCCGTTACAGAACCGTTTGGATCAGAGTCTGACACGTGGTGTCAGCTGCAAACAAGAACCTGATGAAACACCGTTTGAGCTCTGACACCGAACAGCTGCTGAAATGACTCTGAAGACCTGAGTCTGAAGACAAGAAACACAAAACCTCAGTCTGAAGACCTCTGTCAGAAGACCAGTAACAAGAACTGAGTCTGAAGTCATGAACCACAAGACCTCAGTCAGAAGACCACAGTCACAAGACCTGAGCCTGAAGACCTGTCAGAAGACCACAGTCACAAGACCTGAGCCTGAAGACCTGTCAGAAGACCACAGTCTGAAGGCCAAAGTCTGAATACCACAGTCGCAAGACCTGAGACCTGTCAGAAGACCACAGTTTGAAGGCCAAAGTCTGAAGACCTGAGCCTGAGGACCTCAGTCAGAAAGCCACAGTCTGAAGACAAGAAACACAAGACCTGAGCCTGAAGACCTGAGTCAGAAGATCTCAATCAGAAGACCACAGTCTATATGAACCACAAGACCTCAGTCAGTGCTGCAGACTGTCTCAGTGTCTCATCTGTCTCAGACCTAAGTCTGTGTCCTCAAACTGAACAGAAAGCTGAAACCAACAGCTAAAATTAGCATATACAGAACTAAAAACTAAAACTAGCACAGCTGTCGCTATAAGGTTGTATTTTTTATTTTACATTTACACCAGATGACAAAACAAAAACAAACGCACAAACAAAAAACATTTCATAGAGAGCTGAGGTTTTAAAGGAATTAAAGTTCATGCATTTCATGTGGAAACTTATGTAATACAAAGATAAATATTTTTTAAAGTAAATAAATTACAAAAACCAAAATTTGCAGCTCCTGTCTCCTTAATGAACTGAACATTTAGATTTATTTATTTACAATAAATTATCTTGAACATTTTTTTTTCTGTTTAGAACAGAAGTTTAGTTCTTAAAATAAAATTCTCCTACAGAGACTGTGTTGTTTTGTGTTTTATTTTATTTGTCCCTTACCTCGTGTGGAAAACCTGGTTTCAGCAGTGAATATTAAAGGTCAAAGGTCACCAGCCTGCAGCGATGTCATGGTGAACAGCGCCACCTGGTGGACAGCAGAGGACATTCATGTCTAAAGACTGGAAATTAACTGGATTTAGTTTTAGATTCACCGAATGCATCTAATACAAAATAAACATCATGAAAAAGTTAAATATTTTCTTCACAATATCCTAATTTTATCTCCAGATGTAGGAAGAGGGCCACCTGCATCATGAAGGACCCCACTCACCCAGCACACACTTTTTGCCCCACTCCTCTCAAGCAGAAGGTTGTGGAGCATTAAGTGTACAACTACTAGACTGAGGAACAGCTTCTACCCGGAGGCTGTTAGACTCATAAATCTCTAACCAGGAAAATCATTGTAAGGAAAATCACTGTAATGTCACTTTAATTGGTGATCTGTGACTTTATCCATGCTGCTGATTTATTACCTTTAACCTGCTGTATTCATTCATACAATGTATTCATGTTTTTTCAGCTTGATTTTGTTTTAAATGTATTTTCTTTTTATATAACTTTGTTTATTCTTTTATTATACTATGTTCAATAAACTTAAACTCAAACTCCATACCCATTTGCTCACTACAGACTCATGTTCAGGCTGCTGTTTAATATACCGTATTGTATTATATCATTATTGCTTACCGTATATCTTATATCATTGTATACTTTTTTTCATACCTTATATTTTTGCTATTTCTGGGTGTAATTGAAACCTTGAGTACACAGTTTCGTTCCTCCTCAAGCGAACGACCATAACGAACCTTGAAAGTTGCTATGTAAATAAAGTTTACTTACTTACTTATTAAAAACAACATCAAGAATGACAAAAAAAAAAGAAAAAGAAATCACAAATACAAAACCAGATTTAACCAAATTTAAAACATGTGAAAGATCTACCAAGAAGATGTTTTTAAAGATGGTTTTAAAACATGTTTATGTAATATTTTTTAGGTCACTGCTTCTACAGAAGGCTGTAAATCCATGGACGTGCTGTATAATTCATGTCTATGGTCAAACCCCCAGTCTCCTCTGAGCAGTGACTCCTAACAGCCAGCAGAGAGCAGAGCTCCTCATCTCCTTCTTTTCTGTTTAATTAGGCCTGAAAATGATCCACAACAATGGTCGGTGTTGATGCAATCCTCACAGACACACACAATAGTTCAGTTTATTTCTATAGCTCCGAGTCCCAGCAGAACTTGTCTCAGAGCACAGACAGTATAAAAGCCAAAAGTTATCTACGGAAGCAGCAGGTTGTGTTGAAACTTCATCACAGTCTCTCATCCTGAGCAAGCACAAAAGCAACAGTGGGAAGAAAAAACTCGCTTTCAACAGGAAGAAACCTCCAGCAGAAACAGGCTCAGGACGAGTGGGCATCTGTTTTGCCCAGCTGGTGTTTGAGAGAACAGAAAGGAGAAACAGACAAACACAGAATGGCAGGTCCAGGTGGACATTTTAGTGGAGGAAAAACAAAAACGCATGTTAAGATAGAAATAATTACAAACACGAACAGGTAGAGCAAATGAGGACAGCAGCAAAATGAGCAAATGTGCTCAATTTGCCCTCCAGCAGTCTAAGCCATAGCAGCATAACTGAGGGATAAATCAGGAAACCCAAGCCAACCCTAACTATAGGATTTATCAAAAAGGAAAGACTTGAGCCTAATCTGAAAAGTAGACAATGTGTCCGCCTCACGGACAGAAACTGGAAGTTGGCTCCACAAGAGAGGAGCCTGATAACTGAAAGCTCTGCCTCCTGTTTTTCTTTTGGAAACTCTAGGAGCCACAAGTAAACCTGCAGTCTGAGTGAAATGCTCTGTTAGGAAAGTATGGAACCACGAGATCTGTAATGTAAGATGGAGCTAGGTTGTGTATATCAGAAGTAAGATTTTGAATTATATTCTGAATTTAACATGGAGCCAATGAAGAGAAGCTAAAACTGGAGAGATATGATCTCTCCCATCAACTCTCATTAAAACTCTGGCAGCAGCATTTTGGATCAACTGAAGACTTTTTAAGGAAGATTTGGACACCCACATAATAAACAGTTACAATAGTCCAGTCTAGACATGATAAATGCGTGGAACAGTTTTTCTACATTATTTCTGGAGATGTTTCTAATTTTAGTGATATTACGCAGGTGGAGGAAAGCGGTTCTGGTAACTTTTTTAACGTGGGGGTTAAAAGACAGGCAGCACAGTTGGTAGAGCTGTCGCCTTTCAGGGAGCAGGTCGCCCTGGTTCATGGTTTGCATGTTCTATCCATGCACATGTGGGTTTTCTCCGGGTACTCCGGTTTCCTCCCACAGACCAAAAACATGCATGTTAAGCTGATTGGTGACTAAATTGTCACTAGGTGTGAGTGAAAGAGTTTGTCTCGTTTGTCTCAATGTGTCCCTGTGATGGGCTTGCGACCAGTCCAGGGTGTACCCCGCCCCTCGCACAGTGATTGCTGGACATGGGCACCGGCGACCTCCGTGACCCAAAATGGAAGAAGCGGGTAAAAGATAATGGATGGATGGAACTGGAAGTCGAATTAGTGGCATCCAGGGGAAATGAAAGGCTGCAAAGTTTATTCACTCCGACAAAGCCCTCCCCGGATTTGGAAACCTTACTCTCGCTCAAACTTAGATCGTTGGATTACAACAACCTTTATGGTTGGGCTGTATTTGTGCCCTGTTTAAAGGCGAATAACGTACAAAAAAAAAAGAACATTTCACCTAGATTTTCTTATTTTGATTCCACACATTTAAAGCAAGTTTCTCGCAAAGTTTGTGGAAATTCAGCTGTAAGAAATTTCAACTTTAATGCACGTCTGCTACATGTGTTATCAAGTATCACTCAGCCCCCTGTGCATTGCAAGCAGCCATCAGGGCACTATTTAATTTTAATTCAAGCACTCTGGATTAAGGTTTACGAATCAAGGGAGGGCTTTACTGTAGTGTTTTATTCCCCAAGATGTTCAGGTCCAAAAACCCAAACCACAACCTTTGTCTTGTCTTAATTTAAAAGCAGAAAATTAAGCGCCATCCAGGTTTTTATGTCTTTAAGACACCTTTGAATAAGTAACTGGATTCATTTTTTAAAAAAAATCTCAATTTGTATGCATCCTTTATGATTGTCTATTATTGTCCTTGTTGTCATCATTCTTTGTTAAAACCAGGTCTCTCTTGTAAATGAGTCCCCGTGACTCAATGGGATTAACCTGTATAAATAAAGGTTGAACCATCAGCATAACAAAAACCTTTAGATGTAATCCCATGCTGTTAAATAACTCCATACCTAATGGAAGCATAGAAAGAGTAACAGGGACCTCCGGTGTAGAAGTGGGTCAGTTTGGGTCAGTTCAGGGTTTCACAACACTCACGGTGATCATCATAAACACAGGAGCGGCTGTCGTGTGTTGATTACGTCACTCTCCTCTGTGGGACTTTCCGGGTGCGTCACACGGAGCTTCCGAGTTTGTAACGTTAGCTGCGGCTGTTTAATGTCGTTAGAGCCTGGTGGTAACGCTGAACAGACACTATGAAAACAGCCCAAAGCTGTCAGCAGCTCTGAGAGCTTTGAATTTAGGCGCCCAGCCGTCAGAAGCGACGGTCACAGCGGCGGGCGGGATGTCAACAACGCGGCCTCTACTCGGAATGCAACGAGTCACCGAGCTAACGTGCTCGGAGCAGCCGACCAACAGACTCCCCGCGTCGGCCGGCAGACAGCAGCCGGAGGCCCTCACTCTGGACGAGTTTACGGTCCTGGAGGACAAACAGGAGGAGCTGAAGTGTGTCAAACCCCGGGTGGAGCAGGTTTTTAAAGTGACTTTCACCATCATCGGTCTGTTGGACCACACTGGACAGCCGCACGGCAGCAAAACATCCCGGCAGATATGGCTGCAGCTCAGAGGCAGCAGAGACGACGTGTCCAAGGCCAAGGTGAGTCTGCTGGACCCGCTCCGTCACCGGACGTTTGTTGTGACTGTGTTTAAGAGTCAGAGTTTATTTATTTGGCATTCGCGCCACATGTGGTGGAGCGAAATTGTGTACGCAGGGTCCCAACAAAAGTATAAAAATGTAAAAGAAAATCAGTAATAAGATCTAAGGTATGAACTAAGAAAAACGTTAACTGAAAATACACTTGTAGTCCAAAACCAGTCCGCCGAACAGCAGCACGAACATTCCAGTACCTGCTCGGGGTCTCTCTTGTAAATGAGTCCTCGATGGGATTTACCTGTTTTAATAAAGGTTGAATGAAAAAACACGAGTCTGTGTGAGCAGATGAGCACGAATGAACACAGTAACATGGAACAGATCAGCAGCAACATGAAACAGATCAGCAGCAACATGATGTGATCAGGTTTACAACCAACGGTTGCTACCAGCTTAGAGATGCACCAACCTGTTCATTCCGGTTCCACTTCAGTCCAGTACCTGTTCAGTCCAGTACCTGAGTCCGGTTCCTCTTCGGTCTTGTACCTGTTCAGTCCAGTACCTGTTCAATCTAGTACCTGTTCAGTCCAGTACCTGTTCAGTCCAGTACCTGTTCAGTCCAGTACCTGTTCATTCCAGTACCACTTCAGTCCAGTACCTGTTCAGTCAGTACCTGTTCAATCTAGTACCTGTTCATTCCGGTTCCACTTCAGTCCAGTACCTGTTTAGTC